ACAAAGGATATATTATCCTGTATAGTAGTTAACCGCTAGGTAGAAGATTAATTGCATGGTTAGTAGCCTTGTATAGCAGTAAGACCTTAGCGTTAAATAAATTTAGCACGTTGCTATACTTACGCGCTAAATGCGCAGGCAGTGCGCCTATGCCTCTTAAATAACCTTTTACTTCTAGGTTGCCTAGCAAGATTATATATACTTGTACGCGCTCTTTACGCGCTATAGCAAGGAAGATTTCTTATAGTACAAGTTGCATAGTCTTTATACGTGCTTCGAACTACTAGCGGCGGTCTACTAGCTCTAGGTAAACTTTCTTACTCTAAAAGGTTATTATTAATAGTAATATTATTAGGCCTTAATACTTAGCAAGTTTAGTAACTTTTATATAAACCTATATAATCTTATAAGTATACCTATAAGAGTCCTTTATACGTAAGAGCACTTTTTACGCTCTTACAACGCTTATAATGCTTCTATTATACGCTTTAAGGGTTAATACTAACATCTTTATAGATTCTAGTCCTTATAGTCTTACAAATTTATAGTTAATAGTATTAAGACTTGCATAAGTATCCTATATAGCAAATACTTCTTTAGTTGTTAGTTTAAGAAAAGAAGCTTAAATAAGAAAAAGATTACTAATCTTAATCGTCTTTAATAACGCCTAGGGGTTTTAGTTTGTCTTAAGCGTTTCTAGTTTTTTACCTTCTTAGCATTCTTTTTAGTTAGTTAAACTAAACTTACTAATATAGTCACCTGCCTTTTTAGGTAGTTCTAAGTAAAGTAGCCTTTACTTTTATAGATAAAGCACTTTATACGCTTACTATTTGTATAGGTAGGGTTCTTTTAGTAGCCTTTAGTAGCTATAGCGGCTAGTCCGCCTCTCTTTTTGCCTTAGCCTTTACCTTTAGCACTACTATAGTAGTTACTACAATTATTTTCTTAATTAGTATTATTTTTATAACTACCCTTGCAGCCCTTTTAACTCTCCTACGCCTTTTTGCTGCGTATGCTATTATTATCTTATTTTAACTAAGCTTTTAGCTTCTTTAAGCTCTAAAACGTTATTGCTCTAGCTACTAGTTCTGCTTTAGTTTATAGTATCTTATTTAATTTTAAAAGATCTTCTTTTAATTTTAAAAGTAGCTTAGAGAATAGTAACTACGCCTATTCCTCTTTTAATTTAATAGGCAGTTAGTTTTTAAGAGAGGCAAGGTAGTTATTAAAGTCTTAAAAAGTCTACTTTCATCTTTAATAAGCTTTGCTAATTCTATTAGTAATAATAAAAGCTATATTATAAGGATTAGCTATAAAGGTTAAGGTCTAAGCCTTAAATACATCCTAGTCGCTTTAGGCCTTTACTACTACTGCGTCTATTATGCTTTGCAGGCGCGTTTCTTATATAGTGCGGCATAACTGCTCTATATATTTAAGTATATAATTAATCCGGTAACTAGCGCTTCTAAACTTATTAGGGGCTAGATAAAAGTATTGCTTCCTAGCCTATAGCTAGGTAGCGCGCTTTTAAAAGCTTTTAGGTGTCTTAAAGGGCGGTTTAATGCTGCTTTTTAAGATAATATCTTAACTACAAAAGCTGTCTTTATTAGAGTCCTTACTATAGGTGCGCTTACCCTTCGCTTAGGTTGCTCTTATATCTAAGAGCTGTTACTATAAGTCTACTATTCGCTGCTTTAAGCGCTCCGCTTTACGCAGTCGATTATTTTTAGCAATAAGGTCTGCTACTATCTAGTCTGTAGTAGGCCTAATGGTCTGCCCTAAGGGGCCTTCGCCTGCATCGTCGTTATCTAGTTGCTTATAATCCTTCTTTAAAAGATTAGAGTCTTCGTTCTCTACTTCTTCGACGATAAGGTTAAGGGGGTTCTCGACTATTGCCTTAGAGCTGCTCTCTTCCTGCGCACTACGTGCGTGCAACGTTTGCTTTGTAGTCTTTTAAGGTGCCATTGCTCCTTCTGCCTCCTAATTTAGGTAGCCTAATGGTAGAAGAATTAGGAATTGTTAAAGGTGTACTTAGGTAGGCTAGGTAAGTTAGGCAGGCAAGGAGGTATCTTCTTAATAGAAGGAAGCAGCCGTATATTCAATAGCTAATTCTTGCCTTCTGCACTCTAAGGAAGTGCGGGAGGCGCTCTTTATCGTAGGCGCACCTCTGGCGCACCAAGTGCGCAGGATAGGCGCGACCCTGTTTCTACTTGGCCCGTGCGCTAGCACGTGCTATAGCCTGTGCGCAGACTGCGCCACGCAGCCTGCGCTACTAGCACCGCTTCTAGTTTACGATGTACATTTAATACGCTGTGCGCATACTGCGTACGGCTTGCGCGTAGCCTGCGTCGGTCCCCTCCTTAGGGCGGCGTTATAATTATTAAGGATATTTATATATATATAAGGTTATATTAAACTTATTAAAGCATTTAAAGACCTTATTATTAGACTTATAGAAAACTATAGTTATTACCTTTATAATTTATTTTAAGAAATTAATATAAACTTTATTACTAACCTTTTACTAACCTTTTACTAATAAAACCTTACTAACTAAGTACGCTACTATATATAATACATTTTTAATATTGTTATTAAAACTATAAGTTAACTATCTAAGCGCTCCTAACACGCTATTACTACTAAACTTAGTAATTAGCTAAAAGCTGTTTAAACTAAATTAAATTATAGCTTAGAAGGCTAATAAGAAGCGTACCTTTTATATAGTAAAGTAGGCAGGTTAGCTAGTAAAGTATAATATTTAAAAACTAAAGAAGTACTTAAATAATCTAGCTATAGCCTTACAAGCGTTTAAAAAGAAGTAAAAGAAGTATTATACTTATTAAGATAATAAAGTAGAAAAAAAAAGTAATAAGTAAAGTATTATTCAATTTTTAGGTAAGAGCATAAACCTTTCCTGGTTAAAAGTAAAGACATTTTTTAGTTAAAAGCGTATAATAAATTTAATTAAATATATATAAGACAACGTAGTTATACTATAGTTTAAAGAAGCTTTTAATAGTAAAGTAGGCCCTTTATTAAGTATAATAAAGTAAGCAATCTACCTATAGGCTAATATCCTTTCTTAACTACTAGAAGTATTCTTCTTAAGATCTTTATAAATAGTAAAGACTAATAGCTAAGAACATAAGAGTAAAGTATAGTAAGTAGCTTAAGTAGCTATAAAGTAGTTAAACAATAAGTCTAGCAACTAAATACTATCTTATATTAGCCTTAAAAGGTATTAGGCGTAATTCTTATTAAAGAGTTTAAGAGTATAAGTATACTTACTAAAGATATAGTAAAATGTGTCTTAATAAGACTTATAGCTAGGTTAAGATATTCCTAAATATAAGCTAGCACTAATATAGTAGTATTTTTAAATAAGATAGTAAGCAAGGTAATAATAGCCTTAGTAAAAGTAATAGTTATAAACATAGTAGTTCTAGGCTAAGACACTAAGAAGGCTATTAGTATAGCACACTATATAGTATAGAGTAAAGTGTTTATAAAGTTTAAATATATAATAAAAGCACTAAATAAAGCTTTACTAGTATAAGTCTTTAAGAAGAGTAAACTAGTAAAAAAGGCTAAGCTTAATAAAAGGCTAAATAGTAATAAAGTAAGTTTAGCTACTTAAATAAAAAACCTTATAAAAAAGCTTTAAAAGGTTACTCTTAACTATAGTATAGTAAAGGCTAAAAAGGTATTACTAATAGGTATAGTAGTATAAAAGTAAATGCTAAAGCTATAAAAGTAGCCTATAAAGCTAACTTAAGTACTAGTAGTATAGTTAATAAAATAAGTCTACTTAATAGGGTCTTAAGCGTAGTTTTCTTTATAAGTATACTATATATATATCCTAGTATTTGCTTAATTATATATATATATACATACTTATCTCTCTCTTAAAGAAAGGAAATAAGAGAGCGTTTTTATATATATATAGTGTGTAAGTGGTAATAAAAGGCATAAATTCTTCTATATTTAATTGGTTAGGAAAAGTGGGGTGGGTTATGTGACGCGTTATTATCCCGCGAGGGGTCTTGACATGTTATCCTATACGACTAGAATAGGTGGTCTTAGGGGTGCACTTCTCTTATTACTGAGTACTAGTACTAGTATAAGCAAATACTAGTAGAGTTTATACAGCGCAAGAAGAACAAGATAAATATTATTGCTAAGCAGTAAGAAGAGTAGTTCTTTCTTACTGTGGTTAGGGATACCCTCTATAGTAATTGTGGGAAGACAATTAGCACGTAGACTACGTCTAGCATGTAGCAGAATCGAAGACGGATCTAAGACAAGTTAGAGACGGGCAAAATCAAATATTACGTTCGTTCGGTAACGTTTCGCCCTAAGTGCACCGAAAACGGCATACACAACCCAAATAAGCTTTTGCTAGGTATCCCGGATGCGTTACAAGGCTCGCCTCTTCCGAATAATGTAATTGTGCTAGATCCTAATACGGACTTGCATGCTAGTAGTGGATAGCACGGACAAGAACGAAGTTGGCTCCAACGACTTACGAGGAGACGACGAGAATAACGAAGATCAATTTAATAGCGAATAGAGCTTAAGTAGTATTCACAAACTATAGCGAATATTACGCTATAGCACGTAAACAGTACAAAACTTGCTAGTCTAAGTCGTTGTTCCAATTAACGTCACCATCGTAAGGCAGCTGTACCGGTAGTGTTGTACGTTTACCCTTTCAATATCAAGTTCGTCTTAAACTATATTATTTTCTGCCACCCTTCTTTGTATTGTGCGGTGCAAAAGCTACACCTAAAGCTGCTGCTATGCTACATTTTACTATATAGGCACTTTGTAAGCACGGGCGCTAAAACAGTTAATGTATTAATTATTAGCAGGTAAGGCTAATGGCTAATAATCGTTGCAGAAACCATTCTATCTGTCTATCTATCATATCTAATACGATCTGTCGGGTAGATAGAAGTACAGGCCTAAGATTGTGCAACTATGTATCACACACATACTTAAGGAACAGAGTAGCCTCCGTCCACCACAATATTGGAGCCCGTTGTATATGTAGACAGGTCAGATGCAAGGTACACAAAGGCACCCTGTAGTTCATGTGGCTCACCCTCACGTCTGGAAGGGTTCACATTAGATCTATAATTACCAGACGAAGAAAGAACGAGAAGTATACGTACCCTAGTGGTATCTTGTCTTTCCAAATATTCTTGGTTTCTCGATCCACAAAGTCGGATATTTCCGTAATAATATAACCTGGAGAGATGGCGTTAGCTCGGGCATACCGCGCCCACTCAACACCTAAGCTTCGGCAGAGGTGGATGACACCAGCCTTGGCAGCGTTGTAAGCGGCCTGCAGCTGTGGCACATTAACGATCAGCCCACTCATGGAGGCGGTAGCGATGAAGCTTCCAGAAGTGTAATCCGACAGAGGTTTCCCCGCAAGATCGGTACCCTCAAGTTTTTGGCGACGCCAGTGTTTCGCTGCCGCCTTGGCACAGTAGTAGGTGCCGTCCAAATCAGTGGCTACGACGTCGCGGTAGTGCTCGACAGGTCCGTCAACCATAGGACCCTTGGTCCAAGGAATTCCCGCGTTTGAGACAAATATGTCAAGACGGCCATTGAACTCCTCAACGGCCCGGTCGACAGCCAGTTGAATGGCCTCGTAAGACCGAACATCGACTTGGTATGCCTTGCCTAGGCGAGTTAGAACAATTTTTGAATGCCACATTTCCATAGACAATCTATACATTTCACATTGTGCCGGCTTCCTAGGGCCTCGGCCTTTTCAACTGCCACCTTGCTGCTATGGTACCAGACGACAACATTGCAGCCTAGCTCCGCATACGCCTCGGCGACAGCAAATCCGATGCCGCCTCCGGACCCGCTAATGATAGCCGTTTTATTTTTGAGCGATAGACGCTTAAGGAAGGGCCTGCCGTCGGCGTGGCGAATTGTATCGTGAACAAAACTCCCTCCGTTGATCGGAGTAATATCTGCCATGTTGAATTCTGCAATAGCGGTGGAATACCATGAAATGAACGACTGATTTCGCGGAAGGTTGTCTGTCTCTTTTTATATTTCCTTTGCGGCTTAAGGCGCTTTTCTAAAAGTGGCAACTCCCAATATTTGTGGAGTGTATCTGGATGCGTTGCGGAGAACGTCTGGAGCCAAGTTGGGCAATTGTGGACTTACACCAGTAGTGTCAGCCCACTCGCCAATTACTTGCGCGTTAGGCAGGAGTAAATAAATCTTGATTTTACTTGAAGATCCCTCAACAAGTCAGACGGGTTTGCAAAAGACCAGAGTATCTGCCGCAAAATCTCTTTCAATCGCTATGACGTGAGAAGGTTCCGTTAGAAGGTTAGCTTGTACTCCGTAATTAAATTAAGATATCTTACGGAGTATCTTATCTTACATTTCTGCTCATAGCGGTGAAAACGGAGGAACTCCGTATAGGGTCGGAATTCCTTGGTTTAAAAATGGCGGCAATGCACCAAGTCTCGTAGCTGCCTTAGCCTGCATGTATGTGCGTGAGTCTACTCCACAATGCTATCCTTATCTACTAAGCAAAGTTGGACGAGTTCCCCGTGTGAAAACGTATGCAATACATAGATAGCATATGTTATCTTACAACCCGACAGAGTAATACCGATGTCAAATACAACGTTAGCATCTATACTCTGCAAAACGTACGGTTTCATTCGTTAGAGGCCCTTCTTTAGCCGGGGTCTGCTTTTAACAATGTTACCCACTGCAGCTTAGAGACCTTTTTTAGAAGTTCGTATCGGTACGTCGCCAAGCTACAATGGCAGTTTTTTATAGTTAAGGTCGTTGGCGTTTGATGCCGATTTAGGCCTCGTTAAAGACAATACAAGTGTGTACTTTGCAATGGCTGTGCCTATATTCATTATACTCTAACAGACACTGAAGGGTGAAAGTCCCAGGTCTATCCCGTCTTACAGTGACCCTATAGATACGCGCACTACCAAAATAGGAGATCCCTTACCCAGCTACTATGTATGTATCGAACCGTCGATCTTAAAGTGTGCGAAATCAAATCTCCTAGTGGCCGTTGTAATAGAGCTACAAATTCTTAGCTAGGGGCTGATTAGTGCTTGTGGCCGCGATGGACGGACAGTTTGAGTTAAGCGAAGCGGTACTATGGTGTTATGGGTAAGTAATGTAGGCCCCGCATGTACGGAAAATCGGGCCCAGTTTTACAGCTCGTAGCAGGGGTGCCATCCGTTTTCAGGCTACAGCGGGAAGGCTTAGCTAATAGAAGGCTGCATGCGCTGTAATTGAAATTGTTACAGGGCTATTTCTCCGTCATAGAGTTGATAAAGTCCCGCCGTTATTAATGGGCACCGTTTCGCTGTGATTTTAGCAGGGGACTGTGTAAGTGGAGCCGAAAAGATACCTGGCAGGGTGCGATTACTTTCGCCCAATATCATAGTAGAATTCGAAAGGCAGCATAACAATCTGCCCTCTAAATTAGGGCTCAATTCATACTTTTTTTCGTTGTTTTTCGACGCGACAAAGTTAGAGGGTGGATTTCGTGGTAATACTAGGTTTTTAGCTAGTAAGTGCATTTAGCTGGTTAGCACCTATTTTAATAATAGATGCACTTTTTAAGTGGGCCACGAATTATAATGGGGCGTGGCACGATTAACTGATAGATCAAATGTTATGGTACACAGTGTCCACTTTTTAAACAAGAATCCTTCTTATGACGTCGTTATTAATTACATTACTGCCAACTATGTATGACGACACAATGTCCCATGGTGTACGAATTGTCCAATAGATGCAGGCGCTACGGAACCTTTCTGTAATAACATGCCAAGGCACGTCGCCGAGTTTGCCTACTTTTACCTCGGATCGCATACATTCACTTTTGCTTTACTTCCTCTTCTTAATAAATTTAGTTGCTGTCGTCTTTTACGTATCAAGGCCCTTCGCATCCCCGTCCCTAACACTTAACCTACATTTGCCTTGTTTTCGACAGTGTCGACCGACTGTCAGAGCAAAGCAGGATGCCGCAGGCTACGGACCAGTCCGACCTAGACAGCGCCAACATGGCGCTGGCCCGATCGACGCGGCATAACAATAACAATCACTCTTTCAACCTTCCAACGACTGGCAATAATGCCGAAAATCAATACCTTGCGACAGGTGCTCCGGCAGCAGTAGCAGAAGCCCTACAAACTGTTAGCAACGTTGATGTTAGTTTAAGCAAAGAGAACAACGCCACGGAGTCTTCCACCGGAACCTACGACAAGTATGAGATTACAGAGGAAGACTGCTACGACGAGCTAGGATTTAGCTTTACCCGACAGAAGAAGTGGTACATTCTCACCGTCATATTTTGGGTGCAAGTTTCAATGAACTTCAACACATCCCTTTACTCGAATGCCATCGGTGGTATCTCCAAAGAATTCAGTGTCAGCGAGCAGGCGGCTCGTTGTGGTGCTATGATATTTCTGGTTCTCTATGCCTTTGGATGGTAGGTCTCTTCTCGTTGTTATGTTTTGAATACAGGTTTTGTAGTTATCTCGGACAAGATAACACCCACCTCATATGAAATATGCTCGTCTATAAACCCTTCTGTGGCACGGAATGGTTTTTGGAGATTTCAAGGCGGGATCTTGCTAACCTTACCTCACTTGCATAGTGAACTGTGGGCGCCTTGGTCTGAAGAATTTGGCCGCTGGCCAGTCCTCCAGTTGTCTCTATTGCTCGTTAATATCTGGCAATTGCCCGTCGCTCTGGCTAATAACTTTGGTACCATTATGGTCGGCCGCGCTCTAGGGGGACTGTCCTCAGCCGGTGGCTCCGTTACGCTGGGCATGATTGCCGACTTATTCGAGTCGAACGAACAGCAATATGCTGTTGCTTACGTCGTGTTTTCCTCCGTTGGAGGTTCCGTGCTGGGTCCTATTGTCGGTGGGTTTATACAGGATAGTTTGAACTGGCGGTATGTTCCTAACCTTCCGTCTTTCTTGTCATTACAACCCTCCAGAAATTATGTTTAGGTGAAACTGCTAACGTTTTATGTAGATGGGCCATTTGGATCCAACTTATATTTGGTGGCGCCGTGCAAGTGCTGCACTTTTTCACGGTCCCCGAGACCCGAACGACAATTATGATGAATCGTATTGCCAAGCGCCGCAGAAAAGAGGGGAACTCTAACATCTGGGGTCCCGACGAGCTGGTCCCATTCCGCGATCGCTTCTCTACCAGAGAGGTTATCACTACCTGGATCCGGCCCTTCCGGATGTTCCTGACGGAGCCCATTGTTTTAACCCTCTCACTGCTCTCCGGCTTTTCGGATGCCCTCATATTTATGTTCATCCAATCATTCTCCCTTGTGTATGCGCAATGGGGCTTCGGCGTCGTCGAGGTCGGCTTGGCATTTATACCTATCGGCATCGGCTACCTGATCGCCTGGGCCCTCTTCGTTCCCGCTATTCGGCACAATACCCGTCTACGGGAAAACAGGCCTGACGACGAACGCGCACAGTATGAGTCCCGCCTCTGGTTCCTCCTATTTACTGTGCCCTGTTTGCCTATAGGACTTATAGGCTTCGCCTGGACTATTCAGGGCCCACCCATACACTGGATTGGTTCAATGATCTTCGCCGCCATTGTCGGCATCGCCAACTATTCTATTTACATGGCCACCATCGATTACATGATTTGTGCCTACGGCCCTTACTCTGCCTCGGCTACCGGGGGCAACGGCTGGTCGCGTGACTTTCTGGCGGGTGTTCTTACCATACCTGCCACCCCCTTCTTTAGCAACATCGGTGCTAAGAAGGGCAAGAATCTAGAGTATGCTTGTACAATCCTGTTCTGTATTGCCTTCCTTCTTGTGCTTGCCGTCTACGTTATCTACTGGACGGGCCCGTCTCTTCGCAAGCGCTCGCCGTTCGCCCAAAAGCTAGCCGAATCTCGTACAAAAGACAGCAACAGCGCCGTCCGTGCCGCGACTTTAGGCTGTATGTATCCCCCAAAAAGAGTATCCCCCAATGCTTACAAGAAGCTCAAGACTAATATTGTTATTAGTAACCGAAGATAGACCAACTCGCCCTGGTGCGCATCGCATGTACAGCCAGCAGCTGCGCGTCTTCGGGGAAAATCGACTAAGCAGGCCGCACCAAACCCGGCGCCACACCTTAGGAGCCACACCAGATTACAGCTAAGTCTTAAGTAGTCCAAAAAAGACTGAAAGTTTTTATATATAAAAAAGATTGCTTATCTAGTCCTTTATTACCGCTTATTTTATCGTTAAGAATTGCTAAGTATACAGGTTAAATATATTTTTACTGCTAAAAACGGTATTTAGGCTTGTGTACTAACACGTAATACTTTTAAAATCAAAGCAGTTGCCTAGTAAAAGGCTTCCAAGATGTGCTTAGGCCCTAGTTCACGGCAACTAGGCAGTTAGTAAGTAATAAAAGAAGTGCACCCCAAAGGTCACCTATATTAGCTGCACAGGATAACATATCAAGATCCCTCGCAGAGTCCTACTTTTCCTAACTAATCAAATGTAGAATACTTTATACTATATATTACTACTTACATACCTATAAGTAAATAAAAACACTCTCTTGTTCCCTAACCTTAAGAGAGCGACAGGCACAAACAAACGAAGCAACTTACCTACCTGTACACGCAGTGCACTTGTAAAGAAAATAAACACACAAGGCAGTAAGCACAAATACGCCCACAACTTCGCCGGGCAGGCTTGCCTCGTCTTCTTGCGCAGGATCCTAAGACAAGCCTATAATGCCTTCCTCCTTACCCTGTAGGTTACCTATACACTGCCTTAGCTTATAACGAAGGAAGGTGCTTAATAGCACCTCTCTACGTGCATAGGTACGTGTGTTAACAAGTGTGTGTTGTTAGTCTAAGTAAAGACCTTCTGTTGCACGTAACCCCTATAGGTTACTATATAAACTTTTTACTACCGCAACGCTAGAGTTAGCAAATTAGTATATTACTACTAAAATATATATTATACGTATTAATTAATCAGTTAGTAAATTTTAACCTAAATTAATATATTTATATTATAAGCTATAAACAATTAAATAACTATATTACTTATATACCTTATAATTTAATCTTTAGTTTTAACTATATAATAAGGCTTAAGTAAACTCTTATTAGGGTTGGGAAACTAGTACACTAGTACTAGTGTACTAGTATTACTAATAGTATTAATAGCTTTTAGCCTATAATAAAGTGAATAAAGTAAGTAATAGTATAGTAAGTAATAGTAATATAAAGAAATAATAAGTAAGTATGTAAGAATAACTAACTAACTAACTAATAAGTCCTTAATTACTAATGTTATTTTCCTTATAAGGGTTATATTTTAATAAGCCTTATAGCTTATCCCTTAGTTTAAGTTATTAATGTATATATGCTTAAGTTTTTACTTAAGATATATTAAGTAAACTAAACTAAGGAATAAGCTATATTATAGCTTATAAGTAGTATAACGTGTATAAATTAAGAGATTATAAAGTAAAGTAAAAAAAGAGATACAAATATTATATAACTTACTAGTAAGTAAAACAAGAATAATAAAACTAAAAGTATATTATTACTATTATTAATGCTGTTTCTATTACTATTATTTTTATTATTATTATAGCAATAAATAAAATGTAGAGTAAAGAAAGATAAAAGCTAGTATTTATATATCTTATAATATAATAGAAGCTTTTAGATTAATTACTTACTAATTACTATAAAAGCTTCTAGAATACTTACTTATTAATTACTACTGTAGTACTCTAGTAATTAAGTAAAACTAGTACTAGTGTTAAAGTACTACTAGTAGTACTACTAGTATTTTTCCCAACCCTAACTCTTAATATGTATATTAAAAAATAAAGAGTAAGCTTTATAGCTTATAAGGTATATAACCTATTTAAGCTATTTTGCTTATATAGCATATATACCTTTATAAGCATTATCTTTTATTATATAGTATAATTTTAAATTTTACTATAAAAGCTTATAAAATATTTAGTAATAAAAGAAGTGTACCCCTAAGACTACCTATTCTAGCCGTATAAGATAATAATTTAAATCCCTTTATAGAATGTTAACGCATTATATAACTAACCTTACTTTTTCTAGCTAATTAAATATAGAATTATTTATACTATTTATTACTACTTTTATACTTTACATACATAAAACCCTCTTTTCTTTCCTCTCCTTAAGAGAGGGACAAACATGTACGTATATACGCAATTGATTAATTAGTTATAAATATATATATAGTATACTTGTAAAGCAAAACTCTGCCTAAGACCTTACTAGGCAGGCTTATCTTATTATGTTTTTTAAGATTTTAAGATAAGCTTATATAGCTTTCCTTTCTTTTCTCTTTAAACTAGCTATATACTACCTTGCCTTTTAATAAAGAGGGTGCTTTATAGTACCTTTCTTTATATATAGTTATATATATTAGTAAGTATATATATAGTTGTTAGTTTAAGTAAAGGCTTTACTCTAACTTTGCTCTTAATATATATATACTACTATTCTTTCTTTATTTACTAAGCATTACTTTTTTAACTTATATACTTATAATACCTTTACTAATAATGAATTTAAACAAATATCTTATAAATTTAAACTTTAAGGTTACTTCTTCTTTTATTAGTAATATAAGTAATAATAAAAGTAATTAAAAGTTAAGTAAAAAAAAGCTATTTATAATAGCGTAAGGTTAATATTAAGTAATTCTATATTATTTATTTATATAATTAAAAAGAAGCTATTTACTTAAACCGTACTAATATAGCCCTAGCTAGAATCAAGCTAAGTTACCCTTCCTTACTACTAAAACAAAAAAAACTTTAATTATAGCTACGTTTAAGCTATCTAACAACGAATCTAACGACGGCTAGACTAGCGCCGCGGCAACAACCACACTAAAGTAAGCACGTAAGATATGCAAGACACTAGCAGCACCTATAGCAAGACGGTACATTAACCTCTCTACTATCTTTAACACTACTAATAATGCCCTAAAGGTAATTACCTATACTACGCAAAGCGGAACAAAGACTACAATAGTCGTAAAGAAACTAAACATAAATAACCGCATTTAAGTTATCCTTTTACTACTAACGCGTAAGGTATTAACAACGCCGCTGCTGCTACTAAAAACGCTATTATAAGCGCAGGCGTAGACGTAAGAAGACGTATTACTATTACTAGCAATACTACCTTTAATAAAAACTATAATACTAATAATAACCCTTTCTTAAATAAATAAACTAGAAGCAGTGCTATACTAATTTCTATGCAAACTTAACTAGCTTAGTATAAAACTTAAAGCTTTTAAGATTTCTTAGCTATATATAATAGCAACGATTGCGCTACTATATAGCGTACTAGACTAGGTAACTGCTTACGTTATTAATAGTATACTATAAAGCTTATTTTATAGTATTACTAACTAATATAGTAAACTAGCTATAATAGCACTAATACTATTATAAGCGCTTATTACTTATATACTACTTATCTTTTACTAACTCTTTTCTTTTCTTTTTTTAAGCTACTGGTTTCTTTAATATAAAAGCGCTAGCTACTTGCCTTTATAATAATAATAGGTAAACTTACTTTACTTTATAAACTTTCAATTTTAAGGATAAAAGTAAGCTTATTATCTATAAACCTTAAAGATAATAACTAATAAATATAGACATTATTAACGTAGCTAATAATATAATAGCTTAGCTTAACTAACCTTATATATAGGCTATTTAAAACGTTTTAAATAAAATTATTACAGTAGTCTTTTATATATATACTATAGAATAGTTTAAATAAAATACTATATATTTAAATAAGCTAAAGCTTAAACTAAAATATACCTTTACTTATATAGTTATATATAATATTCTAGTAATAGGTTTTTAGTTTATAAAATTTTAAAACTAAGTTAAATATAATACTTAAATTATAAGCCTTTAACTAATAATTAAAGCTAAAGCTTTAATTAAATGTCTTTATATTATAGTAGTTATTATCTTTTTAATAGCTATAAGTAAAGTTTATATAATAACTAATAAATATATAGCATATAAAAGTATCTTATACTATACTAATAAACTACTTATATACTATAAATACTAAACGTAATAATATATAGTAAATTACTACTATAAACGTTAATAATGTATATACTATAGTATAAACTACTAAAGCTAGCGTTATATAGCTATACTAAAATTAAAGAAATGCTTAAACTACTTTAAATTATATTTAGCTTACTACTTTTAATGTTTAATAGTAAAAGTAGTATAAGATTGAAATATAAAGGTAGCTTAGACTATAGCAATAATAGTAGTAAAATCATTACTAAACTTAATTCTCTTTCTTTATTTTACTTTATATATATAGTATTATAAAACGTTCTTAACTATAAGTAGTGTATTGCTAAAGCACTATACTAGGCGGAATATAATAGCACTAACATCCTTTGTTTTAAGAGCTATAGTAGAACTAATCTACTTAAGATATCTTAGGCGTAGTAACTAGCTAGTTTGTTAAGGTTTAGCTAAGTAGTAGCTAGGTTATAGCTTATATCTTTTAGTATATATTAGCTAAGTTATAAACTTTTACTATTATTATAAATTATGTTCTTATTTTTATCTTTCTTAGCTTTAGGCTACTTTATATATATAATATCTATAGCTTAAACTTATACTTATAAGTATAAACCTCTCTTCTTTCTTAGCTAGTATAATTCTTTTTCTTTTTAAATACTAACGTTATTATTATAAGCAACTTAAATATACATTACTTACTTTAAGGCTATATATTATTATAAGTAATAACTTTAACTAACCTAATAATAAACTAGAACTTATCTTTTTAAACGCTGCTAAGCAAATATACCTAGCATAACTATAGTACTAGCAGCAAACAACTATTTAGTATTAACTATATATACATAATAGTAGATATATAAGCTATATGCTTATCCTTTAACTTTACTAAATCTAACTACTAACTATAAGTATATATAATTAATACTCTTTACTTACTTTTCAACTACTATAGGTTTAACTAGTGCTATACTAATAAAGAATATATCTTTATGCTTACCCTTCTTTTTTTTAAGCTAGACTTTAATACTTTAACCTTACTAAAAGAAATTAAAGAA